TACATGTAATAACATTTCTGCAAGAAGTTCTGTACATCATATCAGACTTCGATGCCTGCAGGCTGGCTCCAAAATTACTTTAACAGCATTCAGCCACCAATGCATTCGAAGATAGAAATGCCATACGCCATAATCGAGGAATATTCACAAGATTATTTTCAGCCTAAAATCAGCAGAGAAATAAGAATTTTCAGCCTCGGCAGGAAAAAGAATATTTTCATAGAAACAAGAAAAAGAGTGTAGCAATTTTTGAAGAACCCTACTACCCAACGCAGAACAGAAAACTGTCAAAACCTTAATTAAATAAAATGTAGCTCTCTGTTTTCAGTAGAAGGGGTAACTCTAGTGTTTGAGTGGACCCGTCCAAGTGCTAAAATCGCTTGTCTAATGTCTCTCTTAAATAAAGCATAAGCTATTGGGTTCAGGGCAGAATTTGTGACCAATAAAAGATGCCGAACATACCATAACTGCCGGGATATTTTAGACAAACTGAAAATATCACAAAAACAGATGTATATGTCCAGTGAATAACACAGAATGAACAATCCCACAACAGACACTACAATTCTGATGTTGTAGTTTGCGCGTCCATCGTCTCGGATATGGATTCGTAAATTTAGTGATCTTAGTTCTCTAGACGAATCTTCAATAGTTCTAGATGACTGTCGTCTTTTTCGAACAATATACACCATGTGAAATGTGAAGCAAGAAAGTAGAATGCATGGAACCAACTCAAACATCACCAGAAAAACCGGGACAAGATATTTGGAGGCCGTTGCTTCGCTACTGAAATGCACCGGAGCAAAGATGCACACTCGACTTATTACCGGTACAATCCAAGCGGTAATGACCGAAAGGGCAATACGCGTTGGTGTCACAAGCCATTTATGTCTCAGTGGTGAGGTCAGGGCGATGTAACGATCCAAAGTCAAAGTAAAAAGGTTGCTTACAGACACGTAAAGAAAGGTCCACTTGATTGTTTGACGCACAAACCAAACGTCTTTGCTACAAGGAAACCATTTCCAGCACGCGTAAAAAGGAGGTATGAACGTGAACCCAACAAAAAGATCGGCAATTGCAAGCGACAAAATAAACCAGTTTGGTTTCTTTTGGAGGTGATGTTTCGTTGTTATCAAGAAGATTACCAGGGCATTTCCAACAACTGCTACGGCGGTAATAAACCACGCAAAATACCAAAACCAAGACTCCGTTTTTCCCATGGCAGCGAAATTTTAAAGTATCACTCGAAAACCGACGCCAGGTCTGAGATAATTCACTTTGAATCGCTAAGTTTCAAGTACACCTCAACCGGCAACTGAACAGATGTAATTGTAGTCGCGCACTTTGCATTATTTAAAACTCTGTCTTGCGTCACCAAATTAAATTTAGTCGTTCTGTACATTTTGTTATGGTAATGTTTTGCCAGTTTTAATTGGCTTAGACAGCTTTGAAGGAGGCTGTGAATATACATGTTTTTTTAATATCCTCGATGCACGGTAAACAACAAGGTTTTCGATATTCAGTCCCTAATCAGATCTGAGCTTAAACTCAAGAAACGAGCTAGCAATAGCTATTTTGAATTGCCTTTCGCCTTCTCAAACTGAATTATTCCTAGATTGACATTCGCTGAATTTGAATTACAACCGCATTTCATTAAGGACTTTCTTAATTGTTACACAGTGTAAACAATCCTGTTTATACAGGTACCCTCGTGTTTAAACATGCGTTGTCGTCTGTCAATTGCACTGTCTATATTACATTGTAAATCGTACGTCTAACAACATTCTCCGTTCTGATTGGTTCTCCGCGCGCCTATTAATCACGTAATCGACGTGTGAATGAGCCGTGCGAATGAGGTAGGTGTCTAATTACAGGTATCTAATTACAACGTCATGTAATTGGGTACCTGTAATTAAACACTTGCCATTCGAATTTCAATTACGTGTGCTTAAAATGGCTTTCTTAATGTTTCCTCCTGCTTGTGAAACTTATGGAAATTAAAAATGCTACCTACTTTTTCGCTCAAAATAAGCGCTTAAAGACTGCTTAATCTCAAAATTTGTTATGGATACGATAAATTAGTAAAAGGTCTTCGTGTCGTAAAATTTAGAGAGCAATCATATGCTCCGGTTTGAAATTACTCTGACCCGATTACTCGCTGAAGTCGTATACCTCACTCGGTCAAATTGTTATTACGAGTCAATCGCGTTAGACAAAAATTTGTACCTTTTTACCATGCCATAGAAAATGAAGCCAATCAGAATACTGTATTTTCTATGACATGTTATAAAATAATTATGCAACATTTTCTCATAGTATACCATGAAATAGATCCCACTTGCCACTTGTATATTCTTGATATACACACTGGCCTAATTAGGGCTCGTGTGTTTTGCCAAAAAAAAAAAAATCTGATGTAGGTGGAATTTGCCATTATATATCACTCGAAAGCATAGCATATAAACGAGTGTTTAACTGATTCAAATAACTCCATGGCTAACAAAATCGAGACGCTCTTAATATTAAAAAGTTAACCCTAATCATTGCTCATGACTAAACAAAAGAACGAAATTTACTGTCAACTGCTTACTATAAATGACGTAGTTCGTTCGGAAATATTTGTCATTTGAGCGCGCGCGAGTGCTTTGACCTTTAGCGACTAGTTTTTCATCAAGAATTTCACAATCTGCAAGTAGCGGTTTAGGATATACACCATGGCGACGACGGCAACGTGAACGTCACAAAACAAAAGGTTTAATAAGCAAAACAATAGCTGTGTACGTGCGTTACAAATCGTTGTACATTTCTTTACCGTCCTCTGCAAAACAACAACGTGAAATGACCAAGTTCTGCCTCGACTACGGAACGTGGACGACGACGGCTAATTTTTCGTATTTCCAGTTGGAATTGAAC